CTGAAATGGCATGGTCAGTCATATTACAGAACTCATTTTGTTCACAGATTGGTCTGTATGGTTGAGGAACTGCAAAGGAATAAGAGAGCATTGATATTTGTTTAGTAAGGAGCAAACTCTGTACCCTTGTAATGCTCACATATTCCAGGATGATAAAAGTACTAATAACTAAAGAAATTCAAGAACAGTTTCATTAATATTAGGAGTATGCCAAACGCCTTCCGTGGCCATCACAATCATGCTAGCTAAATATTATTGAACATTTTTAGCAAGATCTGTGTGTTACATTAATACCTCCTTCATCCCTCAACAAACTGGTTACTAGATGCTTATTTCAATCTATAATAATAGTGCAGCACCCACAGTTCTAATACTTAATACTTTGCATTACTGATCGTGACACTTGGTACAAATATAAATACACAGGTATATGATTTACGTATTTTACCCATCACTGTTTCTCATGTTGTAATAGATAGCAAGCTTGGACAGCACTAATTGATATGAACATGTGCACCACCTAATCTGATGGATTATCGTAAAATATTTTACGAAGAACCAGGCAAAGATACATTGTCATTACCTGTACAATAAAAGTCTAATTAGAAGAATGTAAGAACAAAAACCTAGACTTAATACAGAAGAATTGTTTTAAGAATTGGGGTACAGCAGGAGGGGTATAGATTAGCAACACAGAGCACTGGTTTAACCTTGAAGATGTACACATGAAGGGACAATTTTAATTTCGGCCTATTTTATAATACCAAAAACTACTTTTGTTGCTGATGCTGCAGCTCCGAGACATAAACATTAAAAATTATTTTGATTTAAAAAAAAACCTATTTTTATAACTATTTGTGGCACAATATATTACTTCTTGAATAAACCAGTCAAATTTCCAAGTTTATGTTTCATTCAAACCGACTCATGTGGAACAGGGGGTGATGTAGAAAAAGTCTCATAAGAAATGATTTATGAGTTAGTCCAACATTCCAATTTAAATAGAGAATTATCTTCATGCAATGGCAAGCAGTACAATATGTTTCACATTTTTGTTTATTTTTTATTCTATCGGATTGGTCTATTTTGAGGATTGTTTGTATTTCCTGTCATTGTTATTACATTATTTTAGCTTTTATTTAGTCCAAGGCATCTAGAGATAATGGAAAATATAGATATAGTCAGGATTAAAACTTGAAGTGATCTACATTACTAGTGCTTGGCAACTTTATATATACCGTATATACTCGAGTATAAGTCGACCCGAATATAAGTCAAGACCCCTAATTTTACCCCCAAAAACTGGGAAAAATTATTAACTCAAGTATAAGACTAGGGTGGGAAATGCAGCAGCTACTGGTAAATTTCTAAATAAAATTAGATCCCCAAAAAATTATATTAATTGAATATTTATTTTCAGTGTGTGTATATAATGAATGCAATGTACATAATGCAGTGTGTGTGTGTATACAATGCAGTGTGTTTGTATGAATGAAGTGTGTGTGTGTATGAAACCAGTGTGTGTGTGTATGAGTCCAGTGTGTGTGTGTATGAAAGCAGTGTGTGTGTGTATGAGTGCAGCGTGTGTGTGTATGAATGCAGTGTGTGTGTGTGTGTGTGTATGAATGCAGTGTGTGTGTGTGTGTGTATGAATGCAGTGTGTGTTTGTGTATGAGTACAGTGTGTGTATGTGATGCAGAGCCTTGGTGGGGTGTAGGCATTTTTTTTTAAATTATTATTATTATTTATTTTTTTAAATTATTAATATTTTTATTTTATTTTGTATTATTTAAATTTGTATTTGTTTATTTTCGTCCCCCCCTCCCTGCTCGATACATGGCCAGGAAGGGGGGCTCTCATTCCCTGGTGGTCCAGTGGATGGGCTGTGTAGGAGGGGGGCTGGCAGCGAGCTGTAACTTACCTTTCCTGCAGCTCCTGTCAGCTCCCTTCTCTCTCCTCCGTTCCGGACAGCTCCCTTCTCCTCCACTGTAAGTCTCGCGGTCTGACTGCCGCGCGGAGACTTACAGTGGAGGAAAAGGGAGCTGACTGGAGCTGCAGGAAAGGTAAGTTACAGCTCGCTGCCAGCCCCCAACAATGTAAGTTGCCATAATACAGACATTGACTCGAGTATAAGTCGAGTGGGGGCTTTTCAGCATAAAAAATGTGCTGAAAAACTCGGCTTATACTCGAGTATATACGGTACATATAAAAACTACTAACTGATAGGACATTATGTTATATATGGGTTGATATTGTGGGATTTTATGCATTTTCAGAAGATAGATTCCAACGTGGTTGAATATAAGCCAATCAACATGTTTGATGTCGGGTTGATCTGTATTAGTTTTGCAATGTGCTAACCATTTAACTGGTAGACTTGGGCATTTCAGAAATTTTCGTTTCGTACGAATGTATTCGTACGAAAAAGAAAATACTTTAGTCAGAACCGAATTTCGTCAATTCTTTCATTCGTTTTCGTACGATATTCGGTAGTATTTTCGTTTCGGCTAAACTTGTTTGTTCATTCGGCGCGATTTAATTGAGCCAAATGAATTGAATACATAAAACTATGTTCCCTAATCCCTAAATACCGAATAGCTTCAACCGAACTCAGTAAAACCATTCGTTTCAAATGTTGTACATTGCTAACAACATGGCATTGATTGAATTGTATTACGCTTAAAACTCCCGAACCGTCAAATGCACGAACGCTGGCATTCGCATGAAAATGTATTGGCGCTATTAGTAAATTACCGAACACCATTCACTATAGTCATTCGTATGTCGAATGGTATTGCAAATACAATGCAATCATAAAAGTCAGTTCCCTAATCCCTAAATAGCGAATAGCCTCAAGTGAACGCAGTAAAACCATTCATTCGTTTACATTTTCGTACATTGATCTCCCAACACATGGCATTGAACAATGTTCTAATCTATTTACGCCTAAAACTCCCGAACCGTCAAATGCACGAACACTGCCGTTCGCATGAAAATGTATTGGCACTATTAGTAAACTACCGAACACCACTTACAATAGTCATTCGCATGTCGAATGACATTGCAAATGCAATGCATTGCTTTTGCTTAGTTTCTTGGGCTCATGAATCATCATGCTTCCCTGACAGGTGGTACTGGCAACACAGTATCATTTTATAAGGGAGTGGGAAAGAAGTAGTAGCCAATTAAATAGGCTTTTACATACTGCCAGACAAAACTGTAGAAAAAAAAAGTATCAACTCAAGGCAGTCCTTCAATGCAAAATCTATCCAGATTTTCTATAGGCCAGCCATTCAGCCATTTTGGAGCTCAGCCAGCCCACCACCCTGTCAGCCATTTTAGGCACTTGAACACTGAGCCTGCCAGAAGTGGCCATGTCCTCCTCCAGCTCCTCAAGTGAGATAGAAGTCATGGATGTAGTGGAGGGGGGCATTGGCCACTCTGGCCAGGAGATAGGAGAAGCAAGTGGGAGAAGCAAGCAGAAGCAGAGGCAGCCCAGGATCTTAAAAAGAGCAGATCCTGGGAGGAAGAATAAATATGCAGATAGCTTTCGTGCAGAGGAGAATACAGTACTGGCAGGGCCGGATTAACATAGGGGCTGATGGGCTGCAGCTCCAGAGCCCAGGCCCATGGAATAGGCCCATTTAAAAAAAAAATTTTTTTTTTTTTTTTTTTACTACACACTACTCTTAGGTTTGCCACCTGACTGGTATTTTCATTGGCACAGATGGTATTTGAGGCTGCCTGGCCGTGCCGGTATTGCAGTAATACCGGCAATACAAATGCAGGTAATTTTCTCAGAATACATGGAAATTACTCTGCAATACCAGCACCGGCCAGTAGGGGTCGCTGTGTGTGGAGAGAGGCAGGGATAGGAAGTTACAGAATATCCCTGCCTCTCTCTACTACTCACTGATCCGTGGGGGAGCAGCTACACAGCACAGAGAGTCCAGGCAGCAGCTCTAGAGCTCAGGTAAGACACTGAGACACTAGGGGACACAGACACTAGGGGACACATGATGACACATACACTAGGGGACACTGAGACACTAGGACACAGACACACTTGGGGACACTGGAAAAAATGGGGACACTGAGACACTTGGGGACATGGGGACACAGACACTAGGGGACACATGGGAACACAGACACTAGGGGATACTGAGACACTAGGACACATGGGGACACAGACACTGTGAGACCTGGGGACACTGGAAAACATGGGGACACTGAGACACTAGGGGACACATGGGGATGCTGAGACACAGGGGGACGCTGTGAGACATAAGGACATTTGGAGACATTGGGACACGGAGACACTATGTCCCCCAGCCAGTGTCCCTAGGGTCTCAGTGTCCCCAAGTCTCACTGTGTCTGTGTCCCATGTCTCTCAGTGTGCCTAGTGTCCCCATGTGTCCCAATGTCCCCATGTCTATGTCCACAACTGTCCCCATGTCTCCCCAAGTGTCTGTCTCCCAGCCAGTGTCCCCTAGTCTCCCAGTATCCCCTAATCTCCCAGTGTCCCCTAGTCTCCCAGTGTCTCTGTCCCTAGTGTCTTAGTGTCCCCAAATGTTTCAGTGTCTCCATGTCTCCCAGTGTCTGTGTTCTTAGTGTCTCAGTGTGCCTGGTGTCCCCATGTCTCCCAGTGTCCCTATATGTCCCAGTGTCCACATGTCTATGTCCACAACTGTCCCCATGTCTCCCAGTGTCCCCAAGTGTCTGTCTCCCAGCCAGTGTCCCCTAGTTTCCCAGTGTCCCCTAGTCTCTCAGTGTCTGTGTTCCCATGTCTGTGTCTTAGTGTCCCCAAATGTTTCAGTGTCCCCATGTCTCCCAGTGTCTGTGTCCCTAGTGTCTCAGTGTCCCCATTTCTCCCAGTTTCCCTAAATGTCTCAGTGTGACATTGGGACACTGGGAGAAATGGGGACACAGACACTGGGAGACTAGGGGACTGGGCGAGATGGGGACACTGACACTGTGATACATAGGGACACTGAGACACTGGGTGACTTGCGAGACTGAGATACTGGGAGACACTGGGAGCAATCCATCTATACAGCAGAATCAAACTGTGAGTAGTTTGTTGGTGATTTTACAGAATGTTACTCCTTGTGATTTACACGCATAACTAATTAATTATACAAATGATTAAGGCTGGTATTTTTTTCCAAGAAAGGTGGCAACCTTAACTACTCTTCACATACTCTTGCTTAACCCCTTAAGGACCAAACTTCTGGAATAAAAGGGAATCATGACATGTCACACATGTCATGTGTCCTTAAGGGGTTAAAGGAGCACTATAGTGTCAGGAACACAATCATGTATTTCTTACCATATTATGTTAAAACCACCACCCTGGCCCTTTCTTACCTCCCTAAATATAGTAAAATATTACTTGTATTCAATTCTGCAGCTGCTGGCTCAGAAGTGGTGGTCTCAGCAAATTACAATACTTCCCCATAGGATTGGCTGAGACTGTCAACTAGGCAGATCAGGGGCAGAGCCAGCACAAGTCCAACATAGCCCTGGCCAATCAGCATCTCCTCATAAAGATAAATCGAATCAATTCATCTCTATGAGGAAAGTTCAGTGTCTGCATGCAGAGGGTGGAGACACTGAATGGCAGTGCTGCACACTAGGCAGTACTGCCCCAGGAAGCACCTCTAGCAGCCATCTAAGGAGCGGCCAGTGGAGTTATTTTCTCTGAAAAGACAGTGTTTACTGCAAAAAGCCTGAATGGAATGATTCTACTTACCAGAACAAATACAATAAGCTGTAGTTGTTCTGGTGACTATAGTGTCCCTTTAAGTTTGGAAGCTTAAGAGGGATGTATGGGAACAAAACTTGTGTGCACTGGCTGACATTAAAGTTAGTTTAGGTAATGCAGACGTTGGTCTCTCTAACACTGTGGCATGTCCCCTTTCTTCTACACTCACTACAGACACCTTTTCTCTGTCTCAGACTATACCAGGAACTTCTGCCTGCTAGTAAGAAGGTAAGGAGACAAGTGGACCAGCGAGTGCTAGGGGACAGTCCTTAGAAAGAATGGAGTGAGTGCATCATTAGACGCATTTATGTCAAGCTCAAGGTGCTGCCTGCATTGTATGCCCTTAGTTGGACAGCCTGCAGGATTGGCAGGCAGCCTGACATGCATTCATACCAGGCTGACCTTCCAATTCTTTGGACAAACATGCCCCCTTTTTGGGCATGTTCACCCCTTTTGGCAGGTCTTGTCACGTGATTCGCGCCAGTGGCACACCCTTTTACCCCGCCCATTGACTTCCTGCTTCACTGGACACTGCTGTTAGGGGTTATGGATTTACTTGAAAGATGAAAGCATAAATTAGAGAGAGATTAGCATAGAGTATGTGTTTTCTTATAGCTGCATCCTATGAGTTTCCCTCCAGCACCATCTCCATCAGATACATGACGCTTGGGAGGTATGATTGTTTTAATGTTTTTGGTCGATAAGATTCCGTAATTAGGCCCATCATAATTGTCAGCACCAGGCCCACCGTGCTCTTAATCCAGCCCTGAGTACTGGTAAACAAACTTTGCCAGTACTACCAATGTATATTTGGGGGAGCAGCCAAAAAGAGTTCCAGAGCACAGAAGGAAAATCGGTGGAGGAAGATTGTGGCAGCGGTGAATGCTGTTGGAGGGAACAACCGCACCGAGGATGTGGTGAAGAAACGGTAAGTGCACTTATATTCCTAAAAAATAATTTTCTTTATGCCATGTTTTATTAAAACTTTTTTTTTCCTCCATGTGCTTTTGCTACACACACCCACTAGTGGCAGCTATGCTTTTAAAGTCTTTTAAAAGTGAGGGTTGGGTCACTTAAGCACATAGAGGGAAAAAACACCATGTGCTTTAAAGGAACACTATAGTGATAGGAATACATGTTTGCATTCCTGTCACTATAACTGTGAAAACACAGTTTAACCTCCCTCTCAGCAATGTAACTGTAATTAAAGGGACACTCCAGTGCCAGGAGAACAAACCGTCTCCCACCCCTCATCCCAGGGGGAGACCAATTGTGCATGCGCTGCCGCCGGCGGGGTGAGACCTAATGCGCATGCGCTGCAATGCTGCACATGCACATTAGACCTCCCCATAGGAAAGCATTGAAAAATGCTTTCCTATGGGGGTTTCAGCGACGCCACTAGAGGAGGAGTTAACCCTGCAAGGTAAATATTGCAGTTTATGAAAACTGCAATATTTATTTACAGTTGCAGGGTTAAGGGTAGTGGGAGTTGGCACCCAGAAGTGGTCTGGGTGCTTGGAGTGTCCCTTTAATTACTCATCCTTATAGCAGAGCTGTGCTCTGCCTCCTTGGCTGCGATCTTCATAATTGACAAGATCAGCAAATCCAATGCTTGGTCTGGGTGCCTATAGTATCCCTTTAAACATGTCAGTAAACATATATATATAGAAACATATTAAAGTAATTAATCAATTACACATGTCATCATGTCATTGCAGTTACTACGACATCAGGCGGATGGTGAAGAGGAAGGTGAAGGCAGCAGCCGCCTCCAGGAAGACAGGAGGCGGTTCACAAGAACCGGACCTGCTGCCCTATGAAGAGGAGCTCCTGCAGTTCCTGGGAAGAGAAAACCTCCTTGGGATTGAGGGGACACCTGGCACTGAAACATCTGAAGGTACGATGTTAAAGGACCACTATAGTGCCAGGAAAACAAACTCGTTTTCCAGGCACTGTAGGGTAATTAGGTCCCTCCCCACCCTCGTGGCCCCCTTCCCACTTCAGCCACTTACCTTTCTCCAACCCCTTCAGCCACTTACATTTCTCCAGCGCAGGGCTCCCTCGGCGCTGGGGAACACTCCTCCCTCTGCCGACGTCAGCTCCGAATGCGCAGCAAGAGCCGTGCACGCATTCAAACCACCCATAGGAAAGCATTACTCAATGCTTTCCTATGGACGTCCAGCATCTTCTCACTGTGATTTTCACAGTGAGAATCGCGGAAGCGCCTCTAGTGGCTGTCAGTGAGACAGCCACTAGAGGCTGGATTAACCCTCAGTGAAACAGCAGTTTATCTAGAACTGCTATGTTTTCAGCTGCAGGCTTTAAACTAGAGGGACCTGGCACCTAGACCACTTCATTGAGCTGAAGTGGTCTGGGTGCCTATAGTGGTCCTTTAAATTCATATTTGTTAGTCGAAATGTACATATATCAGTTTGCTTGTGTTAACCTTCCAATGTGTGTTTTCTATGCCATCAGTGCAAGCCCCTCAATCCCCAGAAGAGGCACCAGGAACTGCAGGAGATGCTGTCTCCACGGAGAGCGGGGCAGCAGGTTCACCTCCTGTCTCCCTGGAAATGCGCCTGGCTTCACTTTCCTCTCGTAAGTACTTGCATAGCATTGTTAGATAAATGTTATGTGTGTGTGTGCGTGCGCATTTAAACATACACACACGTATGTGATTTTACTGTATATGAAGTTAATTTATCACATACATGTATTTCAGGCCATCCGCAACTTGTCGACGTTTCTTCACCACGTACGAGTGTGGTTTCCCTCCAACAGCCGGCCACTGGTGTCCAGGAACAGGGATCCACTGCTGAGCGTAAGTAAAAAATGCTTTAACTGTACACATTTTCTTTGCAGGCATACTAGTTTATGTAACAGGCGGGGCCGGGTCGACCGCTAAGCATACTAAGCATCTGCCTAGCATGTGCTGGCCAGGGGGCTAAATGTCTGGGTGACCAGCAGGGGTGGGGGGGAGCTCACATTGCTCCTCTCCTTCTGTTCACTTTATGTACTGTGGCTGAGTGGACCACGTGTGATCTTATCTACCATCTTCTTGGCCTGACAGGAAGCTGAGTGCAACGATCAGCTTCCTGTCATGCAGAAGAAACAGGAGATTCTCTACCTGGGGACGCTCGTCCACGATACATGTAGTGAGATTAGAAGGAAAGGGAGGTGGGCACAAAGACATGCAAACAGACAGAGAAAGGGCTAGGGGCGACAAAGATGCATAACTATACTTAGACATAATAATAAATTAATAGCATGACTGCATATATCTTATTTCCAAGTTTAAATAATATTGTTTTACAGATAATAGTAAGCATTGCAACATATGACACATGCTAACAATGTTCTTTTTCTGTTCTCCCCTATAGGTTCTGATGGTACTCTCCCCCTGCAAGAGGAGGGTACCATTACCCTAACAGCAGTGGATCCTGAGTCAGAGACATCAGTGGCCGAAGAAATGCCACAACTTCCTCCACCATTAGCTGCGCTGTATGCGACGATCCAGGCTCGTCAAGATGAACTGGAGACGTCCATACAGCAGGATAGGGAGAATCAGCGAGAACTATTGCAGAATGTAATAACTGAGGTACGCTCCATGTCGAATATTTTGAATGAGGGCGTTAGGCAATTTACATCAGCAATGGTTTCCTTGCAGCAAAATATGCAGCGCTTTATGGAAATGAGGGAGGAAGAGTGCATTTTAATGCACGCGCAAGCTGCCCATAATTTGGGCATAACCATCGCTGATGTAGATAGCCTAGTTCGTGAAAGACGTGCGCAGGGTCTTCCCAGAAGGGATGATGATGATGAATAGATATCTGTGGGAAGAATGCACTCAGATGTTTATTTCTCATTATCATCCACAATGTGAACACAACTGACGCTGTTCATCGTAGGTTGTTACATTCTCAATTTCCTCCTGGTTTTCCCTATCCTTCCCCTGAATATACATTGGGTATTCTCCTCTGCACTATATCCTCCCAGGACTGCTCCTAACAACCTGGGCTGCCTCTGCTTTGTTGCTTCTCCCACTTGCTTTTCTAAATAAAAAAAAATATTGGATTACAACTTCTGACTCCTCTTTTCTTTAATAATTTTTATATATATATACATACATACACACACACACACACACACACACACACACACTTGAAAAAATATCACTATATATAAATAAAAATAATTACAAAAAATATATATACACATAAAACAAATAGTGAACAGAGCACTCCTTAGGAAATTTTCAATTGTGTATTTTAGTAATCTTGATTACTTATTAAATACATGATTGAAAATTTCCTAAGGAGTGCTCAATTCACTATTTGCTTTATGTTTGGCACTGGAAGCACCCAGGTATTACAAGTTATATTTTTTAATGATGGTGAGTGTCGGATTATATATATATATATATATATATATATATATATATACAAACACGTGTATATATATATATATATATATATTCTATGTATATATTTATGTAATAGTTTTAAATAATTAGGTCATTTTATTAATTACAATTTGCAGGACCTGACTGACAACCCAGGCCAAAAGTCCAGGGAATTTAATTTGCTAGCACTGTATATA